CCGAGCCCAGGCTTCGTGCCCGGGGCTCGCGGGCATTGTCTCATGTCATCGGCCCGCCTTCTGGGTGAGGGAACGGCCCAGTGAAGGCAGCAGTGCCCGTAGGTCTCACAGCGGGCTGGCGGGCAGTTCCGGCCTCAGGCACTCGTCATCGAGGGCTGTGCGAGCCCGTCGGGAGGATGGGGAGGAGGCCGTGCGCATGAGGAGGCCCGGGCTCTCGTCAGGCTGGGCGGCTGGTGCATCTCCGCAGAGAGGCAGGGTGACGGGGAGAGGAGGTGGCCACAGGGCCAGGCGGGCGGGGCTGCAGGGCCCTCCTCACAGGCCAGCTCTCCCCAGCTCCCCGAAGCCCAGGCCAGAGCATCCTGTGGGTTTTGTCCCTCAGCGTTGCTTCCCTGCATCCACCTCCTTCCCTGCACTCACTGCTGTGGCCGTGGCCGTGGCTGTGGTGAGGCCTGCATGGCTGAGGTCTGAGCCTCTCCCTGTTGCCGTGGCATTCCAGCTCCTGCAGGGCGAGCCGACTGCCCAGCCCTGCATGGGGACAGCAGCTCAGGCTGGGCTGATCCCAGTGTCTGTGAGGTGTCAGGGAGGGCCCGCGTCCTGACTGCAGAGGCTGAGGGGGAGCCACACCCCTCACGGGGGTGGGGAACACTGAGATGGCCGTGGGGCCAGTGCTGCCTGGCGTGGAGAAGGGAATGTCCATGACTTGAGTTACGGCCTTGCCACTGGAACCCGGTCCCACACTCCACCCTCTTGCTGTGTGTGCCTTCGCAACGTGGACCCTGAGCTGTGGCCTGTGCTCCTGGACGGGCTGGGCGTAAAGAGCCCCCCGAGCCTCCCACTGCAGGACGGGGCGCTTTCTCCCTCCAGCGGGTGCCATGGACGCAGCGCTGCTTCTCACACGGCTGTCAGCTCAGTGGCCGTCAGAGTGGGCAGGTGAGGAGGAAGCGCGGCAGCGAGGCATGCTTGGCGCAGGGCAGCACTCAGGCGGGGCCTGTGGATGTGCAGCTGTGACAGCGTGTCCCCTGTGGTGCTGAGCCCCAGGGTGGGTGCAGGAGGGTGCCCTGCAGAGAGCAGAGTGCTGGGCCCTCTGTCGGGGTGCCCTGTCGGCCAGGTCTCTCTGCTGGCGGTGGTGCTGGGGACACTGCAGGCCAGGCCACGGTGAGGCTGCATTTCCTCGTGGCTCGGCCCACGGCCTGCTGTCCTGCCGACTCTGCTAGGACGGTGTGGGCTCCACGGAGGGTCCTGGACAGGACGGGCTCCTGCAGGGCGGGCTGCTCTGCCCCGCTGGAAGGGGCGCTCCCTGGTGAGTGGAGCGGGCTTCTCAGGGCCCTGTCGGGGATCCGGCTCAGGTGCCTCACTGGAGACCAGGGGTGCTGACGGCAGGCCAGGGCAGGGGTGTTTGCCGTGCCTGTGCCCGTGCCGGGCTCCGTGCTCTGTGCTCCGGGCTGCAGGCAGGCTCCACCTGAACTGTGGTGTGGACGGTGCACAGTGGAGGACCTCTGCCCCTTCCGGTCACACAGCTAGGGCGTCCTAGGGACGGGGTTCGAACCCTGGCTGTCTGTCTGCGGAGCTCCGGTGGTTGGTTTGAGGGTGGAGCCCACACCCCTGAGGAGTGCTTGGGAGGCCGTGTCCCTCGTCCTCTGCTCCAGTGGAAGCCTCAGGCTGCCTCCCTGGGGCAGGTGGAAGGCAGTGAGCCCGGAGGAACGCTGGCCTGTGTCCAGGGGCTGCTCTTTGGGTGCCGGTCTGCCTGGCCGGGCCTGGCCGGCTCTCCCAGCCTGACGTTCCTGTGCAGCAGTCCCCACGGGCCACCCGGTCGCCCAGAGGCACCGGCAGCTCTGGGCTGTGCCGATCACTGCGTTTGCCTCCTCGGCTGTGGGGTCTCAGAGGAGACCTTGGCCTCAGCTTGTCGGAGGGTGACAAACCCCGAGAGCCTCGGCCTGGCCGCTCCTCTGTGCTGCCTCCCTCGGTGCTGGGGCTCCGGGTGGCATTTGGGGGACTGTCTCCGAGGAGGCAGTGCCCGTGGCTGGCGTGTTCCCTGGCATGGCCAGGTGG